GATAAAGGTTAAATGAGGTGACTAGGGTGGGGCCTCAATCCTAAAGGGTTAGTGCCTTTAGGAGAAGAAGGGGCACCAGAGCTCACTCTCTCTGCTGCAAGAGGACACAGGGAAAGGCTGGAGAGGCCTCACCAGATCCCAACCATGCTGGCACCCTGATCTTGGACAGCCTCTTGGATGGTGAGAAATAAAGGTCGGCTGTGTAAGCCGCCCAGTTTGAGGTGTTTGTATTGAATGGCCCCAGCTGGTGTGGACATGCAATGCTCCCAAAGGAAGATTTCTCCTCCTTCTACCCTGTTCTCCCTCCTACACCCCTCTTCTCCTTCCCCCTTGGAACCCTCTATCCCCAGCCTCCTAGGTCCGCAGGTCCACAGCTGTGTGCAGCTAGCAGAGGGCACTGGCAGCCAGAGTCCCCAAAGTTGGCTTCCAAGTCCACCTGCATTCAGGAGTTTTGGAGGTCAGACCTCATCATTTGAAAGACTTTCTCCCTTCTGTTCTTAACAGTGTCCTCTGGAGCACAGATTTTAAGTTTGATGAAGTCCACTTTATTTATTTATTTTTCTTTTTGCTTGTACTTGTGGTATTGCACCTAAGAAACCAAAGTCACAAAGATTTATACCTATGTTCTCTTCTAACAGCATCGTAGCTTTACTCTTCCATTTAGGTATTTGATCCATTTAATTTCACATCTGGTGTAAGACAGGATTCCGACTTCATTCTTTTGTGTGTGGATTTCCTATTGTCCCTAAAGGATTTGCTGAAAATCGATGCACCATAAAAGTGTAGGTTAATTTCTGTATTCTCGATTTTATTCTATTGATTAATTTCTGAAGAAAAAAAAAAGCCAGCTGGAATTTTTAAAAACATTTTTAAAAGATTTTATTTATTCATTCATGAGACACACAGAGAGAGAGAGAGAGAGGCAGAGACACAGGCAGAGGGAGAAGCAGGCTCCATGCAGGGAGCCTGATGTGGTACTCAATCCTGGGACTCCAGGATCACACCCTGGATCGAAGGCAGGTGCTGAACCGCTGAGCCACCCAGGGATCCCCACCAGCTGGAATTTTGATAGGGATTGTGTGAAATCTAAGATTAATTTGAGGAGTATGTCAGAGCTTCAAAAGGCAAAGGGGCTCTTTGCAGGAGTGGAGGTTCTTGCAGACGATCTCAACTGTTGGATGATAATCCCCATGCGATGGCCCCTGCCAGAGCCGTCCTGGCTCAAGCGAGAGAACCCCCCCACACACACACTGGCCATCTGAGAGAGAGGAGAGGTCCCAGCAGGAAAGCTCAAGGGACAGAGGGGTCCCAGGCAGAAGGCCAACTGGGAAAGGCGCCCAAAGCAGCTCCCTCTCAGCAGCTATATCACTGCAGTCGTGACAATATTAACTCAGCAACTTTACCAACTGTACTGTCCTCCTTCCAATACAAGAGAGTTGTGTCAGCCCTATAGGTGGTGGATGAGCACACTACTGCTACACTGGTGTATTTGTAAAAGACCAGAAACAACCTACATGTCCTTCGGTGGGGTGGACAGATGGCTCACGTAAACCACGGAGAAGTATGCAGCCATAAAAGTGTTTGCTGAGAGGAACCGGTGAGCATCACACATTATCACTTTTTTTTAAATGAGAAGAAATATATGCTTGTATATCATCTCTTTGAGGGGGGGCTTACTTTTCTCCATGTTATTTTTTCATGTATAAATATGCGTAATTTTCATATTATTAGTTTTTTTTTATCTCTGACAAAAATGAGAACTTTGAGACCTTGCTCATCAGATAAAAGCCATAGTGTATTTTCTGTTTATATTTCCCAGTTATGTTTCTCGTAACGCTAGTACAATATCACCACCAGGAGGCTGGGATGGATACAAGCCACCCATTTAATTCAGATCTCACTATGTGTACTTTTATGTGTACTCACTGAGTGTGTGTTCTGTGCAATTTTATCACGGGTATTTGTGTTACACATCAGAGCAAGAAACAGAACATGTCCATGACCACATCCCCCATGTTGCCTTTTATATCCTCACACATCGTCCCCAACCCCAACTTCTGGCAACATGTTCTCCATTTCCTTAATTTTGTCACTTCAAGACCATCATATGAATGGAATCACACATTGTGAAACCTTTGGGAGTGGTTTTTTTCACTCAGCGTAATTCTCTGAATATTTACCCAGGTTGCTGTGTGTTGCATAGCTCATTCCTTTTATTACTCAGTAGTATTTCATGGTACAGATGTACCACAGTGTTTTGTTTTGTTTTTTAACCATTAACCTGATGGAAGATATTTTGGATGGTTTCCAGTTTGGGATTTTTACAAATAAGGCTGCTGTGAACATTTGTGTGCACAATTTTATATTGAATACAAATTCTCATTTAAGTGTCCAGGAATGAAATTATTGGGTCCTGTGGCAAGAGCACATTCAGTTGTATAGGAAAAGGACAAATAGCTCTCTGGAAGGCAATGGATGAGTGATCATTTCTTTGCATCTTTGCCAGCATTTGTTGCTGCCACTGTTTTTTTTTCCATATTAGCCATTCTGATAGGTGTATAGTTTATGTTCTTTTATTTATTTATTTAATTTATTAATTAATTTATTTATTTAGAATTTATTTATTCATGAGAGACACAGAGAGAGAGTCAGAGATGCAGGCGGAGGGAGAAGCAGGCTCCATTCAGGGAACCCGATGTGGGACTCCATCCTGGGTCTCCAGGATCACGCCCTGGACTGAAGGCAGCGCCAAACCGCTGAGCCACTGGGGCTGCCCATGTTCTTTTATTTTTTAACATTTTTTTAGATTAAATAAATTTTAAGCAATCTCTACACCTAACATGGGACTCGAACTCACAAACCTGAGATCAAGTCACATGTTCTATCAACTGAGCCAGCCATGTGCCCCTATTTCTAAAAATATGCATATTACCTAAAACCATAACAGCATTTTCAAAATGCTTATGTAGGCAGGCACATGAGAGCAACTGATAAATGGGATACCAATAGATTAACTTAAAATAAGAAGTAGGTCAAAGCATGAGGTCAGATCATGTCTGCTGGTCATGCATCTATCCCTGGCATGGGCAGCTTCCTAGAAGTCAAGGGATACTCATATGGCAGCCTGACACATCAGAGCAGACACAGGGAAATGATTCTTTTTTTTTTTTTTAATGAAGATAATGTCATTCCAACATGGAGACATATGAACATTTTTATTAGAATTTCAAAATAGATACAAAAGTCTAGAGCACAACAATAGTGTGTGCACTCACTCCACTCCAACTGCCACCAACAAGTGCTTCTTTCATCAACCTCATTGCCCCTTTTTCTGGAATAAACTCAAAGCATCCTGTGCTCCACCCGTAAGCACTTTGGGTGCATTTATATCCCAAAGGGCATTTTCTTATGTATTAATCACACCTAAAATTAACAATAATTCCTTTTAAAGAATGTTAGAGGAAAAATGACTCCCCATACTCCCACCCTCATTCAAACCGTGGTGATTCCATGGCTCCTCCGGTTGTATGGGCAGCGTGCAAGGACCCAGCAAGGCTGGCTCCAGAGATGAGTGCACAGGGACCCTCTCTTCTGTTTCTGCCTCCACTTAACATTGTATGACATCCAGTTCCACTTAGCTCCATCTTCTTAACCAGGAGAGCTGGATAATTTTCATACATCTTTAAGAATACCTTCTTTATGAGTCTTTTTTTCATTTATTTCTTTTGAATGCTAATGTAAAAATCCTCATCAAAACACTAACCAACCAAATTCTGCTGCTTATTGAAAGAATTATACAGTCCGACCAAATGGGATTTATTCCCATAATGCAAGGATGGTTCAACATAAGAACATCAACCAACGTAGGGGGCGCACCTGGGTGGCTCCGCGGGTGAAGCGTCTGCCTTCAGCTCGGGTCATGATCCTGGGGGTCCTGGAAAGGAGCCCCACGTTGGGAGGAGGTCCCTGCTTAGCGGCGAATCCGCTTTCTCCCTCTCCCTCTGCCCGTCCCCTTGCTCCTGCTCTTTCTCTCACATGAATAGAATCTTAAGAAAAAAAAAGAAAGAAAATCAAGCAATGTAAGACACCACATTACAGAATAAAGGGGGAAATTCACATGATCATCTCAATGGACGCGGAAGACCATGTAGTCAAGTCCAGCACCTTTAGGATAAACAGGCTAGGAGAAGGGAGCTTCCTCCACACGGCAGAGGCCACGCGGGAGGACCCAGGGAAGCCCGCTGTCTCGGTGTACAACTGAGCGCTCCTTCCTGAGGTCAGACGACAAGGACGCCCGCAGTCCCCACGTCTGTCCACCGAGTACAAGTTCCGGCCACAGCAGTCAGCCAAGGTGTCCACACCCGACAGCGAAAGTAAGATCTTACAGGGAGAAAGCCCGGACACGCTGTCAGCGCTCACGAAGGAGTCCAGCACCGTGAGAGGACGACAAACCAACACACGCAGGAACCCCGCGCATTTGCACACACAGCCCTGCACGAGCTCGTCGGAAACGAACAAAACAGCGCCACGGACAACAGCATAAACACGACTGACGGAGTAAACCAAGGACGCAGGGGCTTGTAGACTGAAAACTACGACACTGCTGGAAGAAGCGAAAGAAGATACCCTGTACCGGCCAGCCTCCCCCGGCAGCGGCGCACCACTCTCGGCTGGCAGGACAGTCGCCCACTGCGGCCTGCGGCAGGACTACAGCCCCCACAATACCTCGGGGGGCGGCGGCGGAAGCCACAGCGTTGGTCAATCACGGCCGGCGGTGGCGTGGAGCACGACGGGTCTTGTAGTGGGCGCGGGGCGGTGACTGAGGCAAAAGCGTTACAAGGGGCCCGCTCGAGCGCAAGCCGCAGGCCAATCACGGCCGAGCCCGGCGGCGCGGGGCACGACGGGCCTTGTAGTCGGGGCGCGCGGGACTACGGCCCCCACAGTGCCCCACGCGGCGCGGCGCGCACTACGGCTGCGCGGCGGCGGCCCGGGCGCCGTCGGGCTGGGCGGCGGCGGCGGCGGCGGCGGCGGCGGCGGCAGCAGCAGCGGCGGCGGCAGGGGTCGAGAACCCGGCCTGAGCTTCGCCGGCAGCAGCGCTAGCTGGCCGCTGGCCACCATGTCGGCGCCGTCGGAGGAGGAGGAGTACGCTCGGCTGGTGATGGAGGCGCAGCCCGAGTGGCTGCGTGCCGAAGTGAAGCGGCTGTCGCACGAGCTGGCCGAGACCACGCGCGAAAAGATCCAGGCGGCCGAGTACGGGCTGGCGGTGCTGGAGGAGAAGCACCAGCTCAAGCTGCAGTTCGAGGAGCTCGAGGTGGACTACGAGGCCATCCGCGGCGAGCTGGAGCAGCTCAAGGAGGTGAGGCGGCCGGGCCGGGACCCCCCGTCCCCTGCCCGCCGAGCGGAGCCCCAACCCCGGGCCGGGCCGACCCCGGCCAGCCCTGCAGCCCCCGGGGGCATGGTGGACGGGCCTCGGCGGGCAGGGGCTGCGGGCGGGGCCGTGTCTGCTGCGGCTACAGGCCTCGGCACGGGGGGTTTGGGGGGGTGGGGGCGTGGGCTGCAGGCAGGGCCGCGGCCTGGGGAGGCCAGGCCTGGACTCCGTGGCCTGGGGGCAGGGCCGCGGTAGGCTGGCCTCCGGTGTGGTCGTCCACGACGGCCGGGGTCCCCCGGTCGCCCCTGGGCGCAGCTCCGCCACGGCCCCCCGGTTACCTCTCCCGCCTACTTCCTGCCTCGGCTGCCTTGGCTGCCGTCCCAGGGTCGGCGACAGCTCTGTGGGTATTTATCCGCGGAGGAGCCTGTGTCTCCGCTGTCATTTCGGCCCCGGGCTGAGGTGGGACCCCAGGCTGTCCGTGAGCCCCTGGGGAGAGCTGGACCAGCCTTCATGAAGTCTTTCTGGTGACTTGAACGGCGGGGCTCTCCGGGGTCTCCCCGCTTTGCAGCCCTCTGGAGCGGGGAGAAGTTGCTTTGTGGGCGGAGCATCCAGGTTTGGATCCAGGCCCAGCTCCTTGCTGGTGTTGATTGTGAGCTGGAGCCTTGGCTTCTCCTGCTACAGCATTGCACCCCCACCACCACCACCACCACCACAGCATCCAGGGTTGGTCTGAGGATTGTATGGTTGAAAAGGCGGGGCCCCTTTCCCACCTGACACTTCCCTTTTCCATGTGGCCCTTGGTCCTCGGTCTTGGGGTCCAGCACTCTTGCTGCCTCGCTGATGCCCACCTCTTGCCATGTCTGCTCCCAGGGGCCTCAGGCAGGTGCCTGTCCTATCCAGAGCCTCCCTGGTTCACTGAGGACACTGGTAGGGTCCCCTTCTGAGAGCGAGGAGGAGAACGTGTCTGCACAGGTGCTTGGATCTGTGCAAGGTAGAGCAGGTGTTGGGTTATTAGTATCAGGAAGCTGACTGACAGTGGGGCAGGGGACCCATGGCCCATCACCTGTCAGCAGGTCTTGGTGCCTCCTCCGAGCCAGGTTTGGCTGACACTTTGTCTGCCAGAGGGGTGGCACCGGCCCTCCCACAAAGGCTCCATGGTAGAGGGGACGCACCTGCAATGGAGGGGGGCAGGGGAGGGGGGAAAGAGAAGGTGGAGCAGGAGCACCTTGGACCCTCCCCTCCCCCAGCCTGCTGAGCACCTCCCCACCCCCGCCCAGCCCCAAGCACAGTCCCTGTCTGTGTTCACAAGTTCACATTCATGTCCACTCAAAGAATGGACGGGGACCGACTGCAGCAGAGAACCAGTCCCCACGTGGGGGCTCTTCCATCATCAGCTCCTTGCTGTGACAGACACAAGTGTTTGACCAGCGCAGGAATGTTGGCTCTGTTTCGTGGGGTGTGTCTGGAGGGTGGGTCCCGGGGAAGGGGGGGTGTTGGGAAGATGGTGTGCCAGTCTCCACATGCGCTCATCCAGCACCTGCCTGCTTCCCTGGACGTCCCCTCCTAGCTCCTGCACGAGTGGGGCCCTGGGTCTCGGACACATGGCTCTACTGGCCTGCCCCTGTTCCCTCCCTCATCCCCCTGCTGTAGGTGAGGGGCACACCGCACAGCCTAAATCCTGGCAGAAGCCGAGGAAGGCGCATCAGAGTGAGGCATGATGCGGGAAACAGCCGGGTCCCTCTCAGCTGTGCCAGCGCAGACTCTCCTCAGCCAGTTTCATTGTAGTCGGGTCTGGCCTGGATTGACTCTTATTTTAAAAATCAAGTTTTAAGGAGACAAATTTTGTTGAGTCTTTTTTTTTTCTCTTGTACAGAGGTGAGCTTTTTTTGTTCTTTTAAAACAATTTCTGGAACTAAAGTTGTTTCAGTCACTGACAAATTGTATTTCAAACAGAGGTGTTTGTGCTCTTGCAGGTGGTCCCGTCTGGGGGGAGGGGAGCAGGCTGGTTGCTCACAGGTGAGTGACTTTGTGCTGGGGCTCAGGACAGGGAGGGGGCCATGTGGTGGCCGTGCAGCCTCTGTAACCTGGCAACTGTGTGTCCTGACACCATGGTGTGTACGTGTGTATGTGTAGTGGGCCGGTACCTGCTGGCCCTTTGGGCCTAAGCATTTTGCTCGTTATTGAATGTGTCCTGATAAGGCCCAGGCCACCCTGAGTCCCACTGTCCCCTCCCTACTCTAGGGAGAGACTATCAGTGGCCTGTGGTCAGCCGTGTGGTCAGCCATGTGTTTCCTGTCCTGAGTGGCCGTGTCCTCACCTCACTCTATCTGCCCTGCTGTGGACAAGGGGGCCGTTGTGCTGGCTCAGGCAGGTACCCCAGGGGTGTGGGGGCTGGAGAGCGGGCCTTAGGCCAGGGCCCCAGGTGAATGTAGTCTCAGGGCAGGAGGGTGGGGTGTGGACACTCTCGCTGCCTTGGGGGCCACCCTGGGATCTCGTGTGTGCCATGTACTTGGGGCCCAGGATGCAGCAGGTGGAATTGGTGAGCTGTGGTGTGTCACGGGCTGGGCACGGTGCCCAGCATACAGTAAGTGCTTACTTAGTGCTTGCCATATAGCATTGTCAGCTCCTTCCCTCCACTTCCCTTGGGCCTGCTGTCCCCACGGTCCCATGTCCTGGGCGGCAGAGCCTGCTGCTGCCTGGGGCCCAAGTCCTGGCTTAGCCTGCCCTCAACCTCCACAGCCCTCCCCCTCCCAGCCCTGGAAGGCAGCCGCCCGCCCTGGAGGCCTGGGTGCTTCCCTCTGGACTCGCCTGAGCCTGGCTCCCCGAGTCCCTCTGGTCCTGCTGAGCTGAAGAGCCAGGGTGGAGCTGGTGGGGGCAGCTGCTGTCTCCGGCACTCAACTCCTTCCTTCTCTGTCTGCTCTCAGCAGATGGTGACAGTGAGGTGACGCCTAGGATGGGGTCCTTGGCACAGGGTTGCATTGGGCTCTTTGCTGGGAAGCTATGGATGTGGGTTGGATTCATCGACAGAGGAGGGTGCTGGGAACGCCTCCCTGTGCCCTACGGGCGGCTACAGCCCCCACACCAGCCCTTGGGGCCACCACCTCGTCATGTCCATCCTACAACTGGGGAAACCAAGGCACAGAGAGTCGAGTTTTGCTCAGGGCTGTGAGCCTGTGTGACTGGTCCCTGTTCCTGCTGAGGACGAGGTGGTTAGAGTCCTCGTCGGGTGTTTGCATGGGGATTGGAGGAGCCCTGACTTGGCTGAAGCCTGTGGGGATGTTCTAGAAGGTGGAGCAGAGGCCTTGGGCTGGAGTCTTCTGGGGGACCCATGCCCTCCAGTGCTGGCTGCCTGGGGGTATGCGGGGTCCCTGGGGGTGCTGGCTGCCCTGCCCACGGGAGGCACTGGGTGTCCGAGGACAGGGACCACTCTGCCCTTGTGGCTGCGCTGCTAGATGTACCCACCTTGCTGCTTATGGAGCTGTGTCGAGCAGGAATCGGAGAGCAAACTGAAGGGCCCTCCCGCTGCCCTAAGTGCCAGGGTCCTGCGTGGCCCTCGTGGCCCCTCCTGTCCCATCTGGTGGCTTGTGTGACAGAGCCACTTCTCAAGAGGAGGGGTGGGCAGGAGCCTCAGGGCTATGGCCCCAGCAGCGGGAGGTGCTGAAGTGACATGGGCGCAGCGTCTGCCTGGCTTCAGGAGGGGTGGACCGGAGAGCCGGGTGCCCCTCACCCACAGCTCTGCCTGCCAGGCGGGGCAGGTTCCTGTGGTCCGGGCAGGGAGCCGGCACCCCTGGAGGGCATGGGCAGGTGCACATGGACTTGCTGGGCACCCTGGCCCTTCCTGTGAGGCAGGAGGACCTTCTGTCCTGTTCGTGAATCGCTTCTCCACGTTGGTGCACCAGGTGACGTGCCGCTGCACGCATTGGGGTGCAGAGAGACTGGCTTCTCCTTAGTGCTGTGGAGTGCCTGGTGGGCAGGGGTCACCAGGGGCTTGCAGGCTCTGCCCTGAGGGGGACCAGCGCAGCATTGCTCAGGCAGGCGGCGGCAGGGAGGTCTGGGGCCTGGCCTCCTTTGTAGACCATAAATCACTGTGAGCCAAGCGGGCGCAGGATAGGCAGTGTGTGCTGGGGCGTGGGGTGGCAGTCGTGGGAGGAGAGAAGCTGGGCCTATCATGGCTGCGGAGGCCCCGCAGTGTCACGCTTGGGCTGTGGGCAAACAGGCTTCGCTGTCGTGCAGAGCCCTGGTTTCCGCCAGTTCGGAGGACGCTGTGCATTTCCATTCCTGGCGCTGTGTCCATGGACTCGGTCGTGGTGAAGGCAGTTGTCTGCCTCGTGCCCCTGCTGCAGAGGACATCCCGGGCAGAGCCCGGGCAGAGGGATGCATGCGGCTGGCTCTTGGGGTCTTTTGCCTGCGGCTCCGGCTCCAGCAGCCTCTTCCTGGGCCTTGCTTCTCTGGAAGGAGGAACTCTTTTTTAATAAAATGTAAGTTAAATGTTTGATAGCCCTCAGGTAAATCTTCACACCTGGCAACATTAACAGCCCCTTAGCATCATCACAATCCCCTCAGGTGCAGTCAGTGGTGGGACTTCCCTGTATGGCCCTGACATGTTGTGGTGCCGGCACCCTGCTGGTGTCAGGAGCCAAGCAGGGTCCTCTGGATGCCCGTCCTGGGGCCCCCAACTGCCTCCTGTCTCCCTGGGGCCCCACGCTTGTCTTTCTGTTCCTTTTTCTTCTTTACAAAGTTGACAGGACTGTGCCCTCAGCCAGTGCTGGCCTGGCTCCTGGGTTGCTGGGCGGTTGTGGCCTGTCTGGCACGTTCATCAGACTGGCCTTGTGCATCCCGCCTGCCCGCCAGTGCTCATGAGCACCCAGGGTGTGCCCTGACTGATGCACAGAGATGCCAGCTCCCTGTAACCCAGCACAGTGGGGCCATGCTTGTCCCCATTCCACGGGTCTGGGCCTGGGGTGGGGGAGCCCACAGCCCAGCTGTAT